AAAAAATTAAAAAAATAAAATAAAATAAAGTTCTGTCTTGTGGATAATTGACAAAAAAAAAATCTAACTAGACTAGATTTCACATGGTCTTAGGAAATTGGTTTTGACTTTTTTTTTTTTTTTTTTTTGAAGTTCTAGGGCCTACACCTTGAGCCACTTCACCAGCCCTTTTATTGTGTGTGAAGGGTTTTTACTTTTTTTGAGATAGGGTCTCACAAAAGTCAGCCTGGGCTGACTTCGAATCGCGCTCCTCCTAATCTCCGCCTCCTGAGTAGCTAGGATTATAGGTACGGTGTTGATTTTCTTAGATGATGTGCCTTCTTAGGACATCCATGATATCCTATGTCATGGCATCTCCAAGTTACTGTCAAGTGATTCAGCAGATAGATGAATTAAATATAGCCAAATTATTAAATCTAGATGGTGGCCAGAGAAGTATTCATTGTACAATTCTTTCAATTCTCTGTATGTTTAAATTTTTTCATAATTTAACTTGAATTGTTTTGGGGGTGCCAGGTATCAAACCCACAATTGAAAAGTTTTTGATGATAATTTTTTCTTGTAAAATATTCTTAGGTATTTTTCCCCATTCACAGAACACATACTTTATCATATTTAAAATTCTGATTCCAGAAAAAAAAATCTCATTAACCCAAATGATCATTTCACTGTTTTCACGTATCCTCTTGTCCTTCTTTGCTTTCTGAAATCCAAGCAAATCCTTTTGAAATAATGCATCTGCAGAATGATTTTTAATGAAAGTAAAACCAGGGAACATTTCATAATCAATGCATAGGGTTAACAATGTCTGAACTAACTTCCACCTTGTAGCCCTGCCAGCCTCTAATTCATCATCCTGCTGCCTAAGCCTTCCCAGTGCTGGGACTATGTGTGTGGTGTTACACTTACAACTCAACGTGAGGCACCTAGACATTTTATTTTACTTTATTTCTCCTGCTCTGATACATTAGGAAACACATATAGATAGCACTCAGGAGGCTGCAGCAGGAGGTCACAGTTTTGAGGCCAGTCTGGGTTATATAGTGAGACCCTGCCTAAAACAACAACAAAAACTCTATAGCTTCATTTATATGAAATTCCAGAAAAGATATGTCAAACCTATGGTGGCAAAAGCAGACTAGAGGCTGGGATTAGTGATAGTAATGTGGGTGCATTTTAATTTATATAATTTATATCTCAGAAAAGTTGCTTTTGTAAAAAGGACCCTGAAGTTGAGGGTATAGCTCAGTGACAGAGCACTTGCCTAGGATGTACAAGCCCTGGAACTCCCAGAAGAGGCTTACTGTTAGCCAAATCTAGGACAGTCTGATCATCAAATTAAATAATCATAGCAACAAATTATAACACATTGACAAACAGGAAGCTATGAGTCCACAACAATAGTAATGAGAACTTGGTCTATGGTCCTTACAGAAGGCCAACTACCAAATGTAGAAGGGGAAATACACTAAGAAAAACCAACATTTGCAACTATCATAGTAATAGCTGAATCTAGCAAGAACTATCACTAGAAGCTAAAGCTTGTGTGAAAAGTAGGAGCACCCTCTCTTGGGACTCCCCCTAACTCTGGGGGTTCTACTCTCCCACTTTACACTTTTCTATCTCAGTAAACTCTCCCACTTTATACTTAAAAAAAATAATAATAAAATGATCATTTTTACATCCTCAAAGTCTCTACCAACAAAGTATATAATAATGAAAAAGGAGGAAAGACTATGTTTAAAATAAAAAAATCTGGAGTATAACAACTCAACAAAGTGATTAAAGTTAGCAACATCAATAATGAAACAAACGACTTATGTGCATCCCCATGTGATGAACAAGAAAACTATCTTTTGTAGCATTCCTGCCAAAAATCTGTAACCCAAATCTAACCACACGAAAAATCAGAAAACCCAAAGTGAGGAATATCTAGGATGTAAATGTCTTATTAAAAAATCAACTTCATAAAAGAGAAAACAAAAGAACTATTAGGAGAATAATGGAGATTAAACAGAGCAGGAGGGAAACTGTAAGAAACATTACAAGGTCTGTCAATGGACAGTCACACTGTATTAAGCTTCGTTGTTAATGTGCTATGGTTATACTCTTCTTATGAAATATACTCCGAAGGCATTTAAGGTTACAAGGACATATCTGCAATCTATTCTCACAAGGTTTACACTATACATAGTTCCTAAAATAGTCATCATTAAAACTAGGTTTCTGCTGGGCGCTGGTGGTTCATGCCTGTAATTCTAGGTACTCAAGAGGCAGAGATCAGGAGGATCATGGTTTGAAGTCAGCCTAGGCAAACAGTTCATGAGACCTTATCTCAAAAAAAACCATCACAAGAAAGGGCTAGAGGAGTGGCTCAAGGTGTAGGCCCTGAATTCAAACCCCAGTACCACAAAAAATAAATAAATTTTAAAAAGACTAAGTTCCTGGGGGTGGAGAGGGAGGTACTTGTGGGAGGGGAAAGGGTAAATGGAAATGAAGCTGAGGGAATGTGCTTGATGGATTTGATATACATCTATGAAATAGAGCAATGAAACCTCTTGCAATTGCTATAAGCAGAGAGGGGAGGGGGTTCTGTGGAGGGTGGAGGTGGAATGGTAGGGGCAATCTAGCCAATGTGCAATGAAAGGCTATTTGGAATTGGCACAATAAATCCCACCTGTACAATTAATAAATCTAATAAAAATGAGTAAAAAAGAAAGTCAATATAAAATAATAAGTAAAAAAAACTATTGTGGGGGTGGGAGGAATAGGGAGGTGGCCCAAACAATGTATACATATGTAAGTAAATGTAAAAATGATAAAATTAAAAAAAAAAAACCCTGAATATTAAAAAAACCAAAAACACCAGACTTCCTTCCGGAAGTTGTGTCAGAGTTAAAAATTTAAAAAAGATCAAGTTCTTTCATTACTCATTTTTCTCTTAGAATGTAACTTACTTCGTGTATCATTTCTCCTATTATTATGTGCTGACTTATTTGCTTCAGGTTGACATCTTGAGCTGTTCCGGGATCCAGGTCTTTCTTGACTATCTGGTCTTACATCATCTAAGTGGAGTGGTACCCACTTGTGCTTATTAGCTTGAAGAAAACAAAAGAAAATCATATAATGACGATGTATATTTTTCATTAAAGCTTTGAGATTCTGAAGACACTCTGAATTTTAATTAAATAATCTGCCTTTAAAGGAATTATTTGCAGAATATCAAAAGAATCATTTTCACTCTTAAATAGCTAAACCCTTAATAAGCCTGTCTGTACAAACATTTCAAAAAGCAAGTGAAAAGCCAGTGATGGAGTGTTACTGGAGTTATTTCATTTAAGTGAAATGTTCACCCTTCTGTTTAATTCTAATGGACAGCTATTCAAAATAATACACACATATGATTCCTGTTAATATTTGATTCTTAGACTTTAGAATGGGGAATATCTGATAAGACACTACAATGTACACACTGGAAGTCAGTATTTGATTCAAAATACTTTCAGTTTCAGAACACTGTCTAAAATACACATTTAGCGGTCTGGCGGAGTAGCTCAAGTGGTTGAGCACCTGCCTAGCAAGCATGAGGCCCTGAGTTCAAACCCCAGTACTACAAAAATAAATTAATTAAAATAAATAAATAAAATAAAATACACATTTATCCAGGATTCTACTAATGAATAGAGTTCCTCAAAACATAAGAGCAGTAAGTACAAAATTTGTCTAATTTGACAGAATTTTTTCTTTTTCACAGCTGCAATACATCTTCCTAACTGAAGAAAAGAGGAGCTAGACATGGTGACATGTGCCTATAATCCCAGTATTCGGGAGGCTGAAACAGGAGGATCAAGACTTTGAGGCTAGCCTGGGCTACACAGAAAGACCCTGCCAGCAAAGGAAAGGAAAAGGAAGGGGAACGTGAAGGGGAAGGAAAGAAAGATACAAGCAAATTAACTTTTCTTGAGGACTAACAATGTAACTAAATTTTATGGTTATAGTAAAATTCTAAAGATTACTTTTACACGGATTCCATAATTAAGGTTACAACTATTTATTCCTTTTTCTTGCATAGCATACAAGCTAAATGCAAAAAAAAAAGGGGAAACTTAACGGTTCAGAAATGTTGCAAAAGCAAATCAGGTATTACTGCAGATGGTTTATCTTGAAGAAATAAAAAATAAATATCAATTACTACTAGAGACGAGTGGAACATTCTGCATCACTACAACCTTCTCCAAGAATTTAAAGTTGAGATGAAGGTGCAGATAAACTACCTTTCTTTCGCTGATTACTTGACTGGGCCTCATCCTCACTGATGTTTTCACCAAGACCATCTACTTTTGCTTCCCGGTTTTCTTTGCTTTCACTATTACTTCTCTTCTCAATCTTCTCTTCTTTTTCTTTTCTAATTTGTGACTTCTTGTTTCCTTGGTTGATCGTACTCTGAGACTACAAAAAAGTTTTCTGAATGGAATCATTTTCATTAACATTTTCACTAATATTTGTAATATTTACGTTACCTAAATATTACAAAACAAATAATGAAAAATACCTGCCTAGACATCACCATGTCTGGGCATGTACCTGTAATCTTAGCACTCAGGAGGCTGAGGCAGGAGGATCTCCAGATTAAGGCCAGCCCAAACTATAAAGTAAGTTCCAAGCCAGCAGACTTACATAACCAAACCCTGCCTCAAAAGAAATACTTTTTAATAAAACAAAAACCTGGTTGAGGGCAACCCTCTCTTGGAACCCTCCTCACTGTGGCAGCTCTGTTCTCTCTTTAAATCAACTTCCTAGCTTTGCTCACACATACAAAAATAATTAAGCTATTTACTTAACTACTACTCAGAAGGCAATATTAAGAGAAAACTCAAGCTACAGACTTGGCAGAAAATAACTGCTAAGTATTTGATAAAGGACTTGTACATAAAATAATATAATGAACTCTCTAAATTCTGTAGTTAAAATAACCCGTTTTGGGGGGCAGTACCTTGGGATCTGAACTCGGGGCCTCATGCTTGCCAGGCAGGTGGTAAGCCATGCCCCTAGCTTTTTTTTTTTTTTTTTTTTGTGGTACTGGAGCTTGAACTCAAGGCTTTCACCTTGAGCCACTCTACCAGCCACCCGCTTCCCTTTTTTTCGTGAAGACCTTTTCGAGATAGAGTCTCAAGAACTATTTGCCTGGGCTGGCTTTGAACCACAATCCTCCTGATCTCTGCCTCCTAAGTCTAGGATTACAGTTATGAGCCACCAGAGCCTGGCTTGTTTTTGAGAGACGATCTCACTATGTAGCTCAGGCCAGCGTGAACTTGAGATCCTCCCATCTCAGTTTCCCAAGTGCTGTGCACCATGACATCCAGCCACTACTTAGATTTTAGATAAAATAAATTCTCCCTGTTGAAAATGAGAATATGTCACTTTCATTTTATCTTTTTTGTAAAAATATCTTAAAATAATACTTACTCCAGTGCTCACTAATTCACCTGGTGTTGGCCAATTTGCCATATCACTGAAATCACTGGCCTAAAAAGTAACAAATAAGTATTATGCCTGCAAATATTTAGAATTTTTAAATAGAAAAACTATTTGCTAAAAGTGGTAATTTTAAAATCACCTATATTTAATTATATGCAGACATTTGCCAAATCAATTCAAATGTTCCTCCAAACAACAGAACACTTGGAAATAAAAACAGTTTGGTCTTCTGATCAGGCAACAAGTACAATACAATATATTAAGCTAAGGTACACACAATAATGGAAGCACAAGGGGATATGGATAACAGCTTTGACTCTCTACAATATTAACTTTAACTGACATCAGTGATACAATTACAACAAAAGTATACATATAATAATCTAAGAAGAGTCTCTCCCAGTTTTCAAAGTAAATACAGTTAAGAGCCATTTCCTATAAGGACTTACCTTGTTGGATTTCTTTGTCTTGACTTTTCCTGTTTTTATAATTTTTGGGGAACTGAGCTCTAAAGAAAACACACACAATTGTTTTAATATCTATTTCATTCAAAATACTTAACAAGGTAAATATTATTCCAATTTCAGACTACCTTTGTGGGCTTTTTCCTTTCTTGGCAATACTGGGATTTGAACTCAAGACCTTACACTTGTTGGGCAGATACTCAGTATTTTTTCAATTTCACTAAGTCATTAAGTCAACAAAACCCAAAATTCTAAAACTCAAATTCTTAACAAGATATCAATTACATTTAATACGTAAATTCCAACTGGTCATCCATGTCCAAATCAAGAAGTGGAAAATATTATTATCTGTTAGCAGCATTGGGGGATTTGAACTCAGGGCTTCATACTTGCTAAGCAGGCACTCTACCACTTGATCCACACCTCCAGCTCTTTTTAATTTGGTTATTTTGGAGATGGGATCTTGCTGTTTTGCTGAGGTCAGCCTGGACCATGATCCTATTTTATGCTTCCCACCATCGCTGGAATGACAGGCGCACCCCACCTTGCCCAATGTATTTTTCCATTGACATGGGATCTTGCAAACTTTTTTGCCCTAGCTGGCCTAAAACCGTGATCCTCCTGATCTCAGCCTCCCTTGTAGCTAGGATAATAGACGTGAGCCACCAGCATCTTGCTTTAAGATGTAGTAAATAGTAACAATTAGCTTACTTACACTGAATTGACAGGCCAATCCTTTGATTAACAAACTACAACGTGAAAAAAATTAGAAATACTAACATTTAAAAAAATTCATCTCACTTTCTTAATTGCACTGACCAACAAGCATTCAGAAAATAGGTCAGAAAACCTCAACTTCTTGTTCTAGGAAACAAACAGGTTTGGCAACCCTAATAGGTTGTACTTAGATTCAAGCCATAAAAAAGAGTAATAGCTGGAGGTATGGCTCAAGTGGTAAAGTGCCTCCTTTGCAAGCCTAAAGCCCTAAGTTCAAACCCTAATACCACAAAAAAAACCCCAAAACAAACAAAAAAACTTACCAGGCACTGGTGGCTCACGCCTGTAATCCTAGCTACTCAGGAGGCAGAGATCAGGAGGATTGTGGTTCGAAGTCAGCCTAGGCAAACAGTTCATGAGACCCTATCTCGAAATAACCATCACAAAAAAAAAGGCGTAGTGAGGTGGGGGGATGGGGGGGGGCTGAAAGGGCCAGTGGAGTGGCTCAAGGTGTAGGCCCTGAGTTCAAACACCAGTAGAGCAAAAAAAAAAAAAAACAGGAGTAACAGTGATTGAGGATGTAGCTCAGTGGTAAAGTGCTTTCCTTGCATGTGCAAGGCTCTGGTTTAATACCCAGCACTGCCAAAAACAAACAAAAAAACTAAAACCATCATTGCATGAGTACTTGTCCTTATCTTGAATGAAAGCATAGTGACTGACAATAAAAACCGATATACTGTCCTCAAATGAAGACACTTTTACATTGCCTTTTGTTTGGTTCATTACTTAGCAACATGACCAGATGCCATGAACATCTAGCTAAACATGATCTAAAGTGGGTATTAAAACAAAAGTTGATCATGCATTATGGCATATGCCTATAATCTCAGCACTTGGAAGGCCGAGGCAGAAGGATCAAGTCTGAGGCCAGCTGGGCTACGTAGGAAACTCAAAGCCAGCCACCCACATAGTGAGGCATGTCCAGAAAAACACAGGAGTTGGAGTCTGGATCTACAGATAGTACAGTTTTCCAGTGAAACGTGAGTCCTGTCAGTCAAAACAATGACCAATTTAGGGAATAAAGCAATCTTTAAATTAAACATCTAAAAGCAGACTCAAATAAAATATAGAACACTATCAAAGAAAGAAGGCATCCAAGACTGATGCTGCACATCTGTAATCCCAGCTACTATGGAAGCTGAGGCAAGGATTCAGAGTACAAGTCAATGAAAACTTGTCTCAAAAAAAAAAAGGTGGTGAAGGGAGGGATACAGGGAATTGAGAACTTTCTGTTCAATCTTTATTCAGGTGTTCTTTTCATTCATATTTTTATACTTCAGGTACTCACATATATATTTATGTGCATATATACATATACATGTAGGTATGGATTAAATATTTCATTAACAAAAACTAGCAGGCATAGCTCAAGTGGTAGAGCACCTGCCTAGCAAAGTCAAGGCCATGAGTTTAAATCCCAGTACTGCCGAAAAGAGAAAAGCCTAAATCGCTAATTAAAACAGTGTTTGAGAGGGGGGAGGGTGAAGGAAGGAGATTAAGGTGATGGTATATGGTAGATGGACTTCCTATACCTACATGAAACAGAACTAAGAAACGTCTTGCAATTGCTTTAAGTGGGATGAGGAGAGGAAGGGAGAGACATGATGGGGGTGATGTAAATAATGTACACTGTAAGTCTAATCAGAATTGTCACTATGAATCCCCCCCCACATAATGATTATATCCTTAAAAAAATAAAACAGTGTTTGGACATTATCTAGAATTTGACACAAATACAATTTATAAAAGTTACATGACACTTTTAAGGTGACTTAGCCCTCAACAATGTGGAAAACAAGTTCCAAAAATACTGCTGATTCATTTAAGTAAATTAAGAGCCTGGTTGTTATAAAATACAGCTGTATACAAACTATTTGGTTTAACGGGAAATGATATAAAGAGTAGGGTATCCAGCTAGGTCTTAGCTATTTTTATTAGAATTCATTACTTCCGGGGATAGGAATTGAGACAGGGTCTTTCTACAGTCCAGGCTGTCCTCCAATTCACCACCCCATGCCTCAGCCTTCCTGCTGAGATTATAGGCATACACCACCAAGACCGGCTCAATTAGACATTTATAATCACGAAACCAACATCAAAAACTATTCAGATATAAAAAGTCTGCTTTTAACTTTGACTTTAAACTAGAGGAAAGCATCTATAACATGACAGAAGTTAATAAAATTTTTATTAATTTAAAAATCATTGTGACTGGGCACCGGTAGCTCACACCTGTAATCCTAGCTACTCAGGAGGCAGAGATCAGGAGGATCATGGTTCAAAGCCAGCCTGGGCAAACAGTTCATGAGACCCTATCTCGAAAATACCATCACGAAAAGGGCTGGTGGAGTGGCTCAAGGTGAAGGCCCTGAGTTCAAGCCCCAGTAACACACACACACACAAAATCATTGTGTTGGGCTGGGGATTTAACTCAGTAGTAGAGCGCTTGCCTCACATGCACTAATCAGCATTGTGGGGGCTGAGGGAGACACCCAAAAACAAACAGCTATGTAACCCAGGCTGTCCTTGAATTGACCATCCTTCCTCAGTAAGCTCATTTCAGGAAAGCAGGTACTGGAAGAAAAAAGGGTTAATGAAAAGCAACAAAAGCCAGGCATGGTAGCACTCAGAAGACTGAGGCAGGAGAACTGCCAAGTTCGAGACCAGTCTGGGCTACATAATGAGTTTGAGGGTATAAAGTAAGACCCTGTTTGAAAAAGAAAGAAAGAAAGAAAGGGAAAAAAACCAAGCTACATGGGGTCAGAGAAGAGTAAGTTTGAGGCGAGCCTGGGGTACAAAGTAAGATCCTGTTTGAAAAAAGCGGGGGTGGGGGAAAACAGCTTAGGGTCAGAGAAGAATAAGGATGTAAAACACAGAAGAATGATTTTAATACAAAATATAACTACAGCTACAAGCAAATGATTAATAAATCCTAGATTGCTGTCTTTAAAAGGAGTCTCTAAATGAAATAAAACTACTTTAACACAAGGTTAGGACACTGTTTGGGAAAAGGTTTTTCTGGTCTTGTGACTAAATTCAAGACAGTGGTGACTTTACCCTACACGTCTTGGGTGGACCAGGCTTTGGCTGGCAATAGTGCTTTATCTGGATTTCCAGAAACACCAACACACCACCAGAATAATCAGGAAAGTAGAAGAAACTGTCTCACAAGGGCTGGGGCATCAAAAATCCGCCTCACTTAGATCAGATCCTAAAGTAGAGAAAACTCATAATTCATGTTCTGAAATACCTCCATGTTTCTTATAATGTAAGAAACTTTACAGCAAAATTTTGTGGATCGAATTCCTTTACCTCATTAATAAGAGTGATAATAAATCCAGGGTTGTTCAGGATAAGCCTGATTCAAGTCTATTATTGTTGCATAGTTAATATCCTTTCAAGAGTATATTATTTTGTAGAATAAATTCTACAGCCACCCTACTAAGATTGCTTAATTTGTACCTTTTGAAACCTAAACCACCTCTGGACATATATAATGAAATCATTATTCCATTTTTTTTTCCTTTCATTATGTTGAAAGACCAGGCTGGTCTCGAATTCCTGGGCTCAAATGATTCTCAGGTGTCAGTCTTTGGAATAGCTGAACTACAGGTACATGCCACACCACACATGGCTATTTATTCTTGAGGTCGCAAATTTACTTAGCAGAAGTAGGAAGTCAAGACACCCAGGATGCATATAGATGGCACTCTGATGTTAAGAACCAGAGAGCTGGGCATAGTGGTTCATGCCTGTGATCCCAGCTACTGAGAAGGTTAGGGTAAGAGGACTGGGAGTTTCAGGCCAGCCTGGGCAATTTAATAAGAAAAGAAAAAAACCTAAAGGGGATGACTATTTCATTTACTACCCAAAGCCCAGAAATCTTGCCAAGAGCCAAATACCTAGTAAGTAATGCTGCACTAGAACCCAATTCAATCCGACAAGTGCATTCCTACTCTATACTCTTAACTCAGCTGTTCAACTGCAATAGACCTTGCAGGGATATAGCAGTGTAGGTTGGAAGAGACTAATGACTACACTGCTCTATGTCTGAAGAAAGCTACTCCCAAGGGTGCAGAATGAATCTGAAAAAGGAAAGTGTTGCCTACACAGAGACATCAGTAAACTAATTCCCATGAGCAACACCATACACTAAGCATCAGCTTGTTCTCTTTTGGGGGTGGGCGAGGGAGAAGAGGAGAGGGAGTTGAGACAGGGTCTGGCTACATAATCCAGACTGTCCTTGAATTGAGCATCCTACCTCAGCCTCTGGAGTGGAGATTATACGTGTGCCCCACTACTCTTGGCTAGGTATCACCTTATTCTTAATCTTCGAAGAAGACTAGAGAATGAAGGCACCAGTAGGTTAAACTGGTAAATATTTTTCCAAGTAACTTGCAATTAAAATTCCTGAGTCCCCAGGCTGAGGATGAGCTCAGTGGTACAATGCTTTCCTACCATGTGCAAAGCCCTGGGTTCATTCCCAGCATGGCAAAAATTAAATATATGATGAATAAAAATAAATACAAAAACTCTCTCATCTTGAAAGGTTTTAAGTTTTAAAACTTGAAGAACTGGTTTTATAACCAAGAAGGAGTTCCTATTTGATAACTGTTGAATACTATAATGCTTAATTTTGTATAAATCTGGGAGATGTGAGGCAGTCAATAAAGTAATCCACTTGGGCTCTCTTTCCTTGCTAAATTTTAAAGAGACTTTGCTTGAGGAGTTCTCTAAGTTAGTCACCGTAATAAACAAACAGATCTTTGCAGTTAGAAGGGAATTATGCCAATATTAAATCTAGGGCAAGTTTTTAAGGCTTTCTTCTGCAAGTGCAAAAATTTATCAAGAATTAATGAAGAGAGAAATGGCTTTACATGCCTGTAATCCCAGCACTCAGGAAGCTGAAGGGGGGAGGGTCAAAAAGCCAGCCTAGGCTACATATGGAAATCTTGTCTTTAAAAAAAAAAAAACAGAAAAGAATTGAGGGATGGAGGGGTGGCTCAAATGATAGAGCACCTTCCTAGCAAGCATGAGGCCTTGAGTTCAAACCCCAGTACAGCAAAAATATTTAAAAGAAAGAATTAACGCGTGTTTCCATGTAAAAGCTAACTCTCACTCTACTGCAGAGTTCCCCAGAAGAAACCTGTGGCTTTACAGCAATCATCTTACATTTACACAACATCCTTTATGTCATTCACCCTCACAACCCTCTAAACATGCTGAACTTTTTGCCGTTCCACCATTGACCTTCAAGAAGTAGTGAAAACTTGCAAGTAAACAGCTGTGATTTCCATGTAAAAGTCCAAATCAATTTACAGCTTAATTTAGAAAGTAAAAGTGCTTGTTGTCTTCCTCTCATTTGGCATGTAACTTTGACACAGCTTTGTGCTCTGTGACCCAGGCTGGCCTCAAGCTCGCCAGCCTCCTCCTTCCATCTCCTGAGTGCTGGGATTACAAGTGTGCACCACTACTCCCAGCTCCACTTTAACTTAAAAAAAAGAAAAAGAAAAAGAAAGAACCGGAGTTACAACCAAAACCACGCAGCACGGGGAAGCCCACACTGCGGTGTCAGCACGCCAGTGCCATGGCCCCAACCTTCTCCAAGCGAGGACCCCATCTCACCTAGGCGCAATGCCCTCCAGTCGCGCTTTTGGTTTCCAACAAGCCAAAGCTCATCCCCACCGCTGCGCCCAGGGCCCCGATTCACGCGCACCCCGCGATCCCCGCCCGGTGCACGTGCGGACGCAGAAGCCCGACCTGTCCACCCGCCCGCACCACCCGTCCATTTGCGGGGCCCGGCGCGGCGACACCGCCACACACCTGCCACCGGGACGTCCGGCGCGGCTGGCGCGCCGGTCACTGCGGCGCACGGGGGCGGCCTTCGCGTCCAGGGGTTCTCCTTGGGCGGCGGCGGCAGCTTGTCCTCGGGGCCGGCCGGCGCCGGGGCGTCCTCGGCCGGCACGTCCCGCGGTGGCGGCGGCGGCGGCTCCAAGCCGAAGGGGCCGCCGGGCCCGCGCGCCTTGTGCGCCAGGTGCAGAGCCAGGGGCCTGACGGGCACGGCCGCCTGGGGCACGCTGTGTCCCCGCACCGGCGCGGGAGACGGCTCCCCCCGCGCCCCAGCGCTGGTGGCGGCCGCGGCCCGCTCCTCCCTCGCCGCCTCTTCGCCGTCCCGCTCCGGCCCGGGCGGCTGCGCGACCAGCAGCGCCTCCCTGTCGGCCGCCACGGTGGGCGGGTCCTCCCGGGGGCGAGCGGCGGGCACCGGGGCGCGAGCCGACATGGTCCCCGGCCCGGGCCGGAGGCCGCCCGGCCGCCCGTGTGTCGCCGGGGCACCGACGCCTCGGGCTGGGACGGAGACCCGGGAGCCGGCCGCCGCCCTCCCCGCGCGAACGCCGCGCCAACCGCCCGCCGGCCCAGCCCTCGGGGCGTCGGCCGAGCCCGCCACCACGCGCGGGGTCGCCGGCGGAGACCTGCAGCCCAGTCAGGCAGCGCGAGCGCCGAGCCGGTAACGCTCGGGGGCGGGGCGGGGCGTGAGGGGGCGGGGCGTGAGGGGCGGGGCTCCGCGGAGAGTGACGTGGCTACTCACCGGGCTGTCCCGCCGGGCCGCGCGCCGCCAGCCGCCTGACGAGCCGGCCCGGCGCGGCCCTCTCGCCCGCCCCGCCCCGCGGCCCGCCGAGACGGAGGGAGGACCGGGCGTCCCGGGCTCGCGGGGCGGGGCCCGGCCTCTGTGACTCGCGGCCCCGCGCGCCCTTCGGCCCCCACGCCCGGCGAGGCCTCGGGGCGGCGCGGTGGGTCACGTGAGGCGCTGTGGCCCGAGGTCGCTCTGCAACCTTCGGCCGGCCTCCGCGCGTGCACGTGCCCGCCCCGTGCCCGCCCGGTTTCCCGCCCACGAGCCGGGCGAAGCTCTTCCCGAGGGCCCGGGAGTGAAACTTCGTGTCTGGCGGGTCGGATGTTCGGGGCCTCCCGCTCTGTCGTTGGGTGCTGTCACGTGATTGCAAATGGCCCACGCGCGCAATCTCCCCCTCCCGGGGGTGGGCGATGTGGGCCTAGCGCACGATCTCCCACTTTTCACCCACTTGGCTCACGAGTGTAAGAATGGGCCGTGGCGCTGCGTCCCGGTGCAGGTCCCCGAAGCTTGCCCACCGCCGCCTCACAACAATAAGCGGCCAACAATGAGGCGAGGCCTTTCTCGCCTTGTACATCTGCAGTCTCACCTGACCCTAAGCAACTTCCTGAAACTTTGCAATTCAACGGGGATTGCACGTCCGTCTGTCTGTCCTACCTGGAGAGATGCCGTCTTTCCCAGTCCGTTACCGGCGAAGCTGCTCCTCTGGTCTTGGGCAGCTCGTTGAAGTCTGCCCAGGTAATATCAAACTCTTTTTTCACAAAAGCCTATCAACAAACTCACAACTGATGCGACCCAGAGAGCACATTCTAGCAAGTCAGTTAAGACAAAGGTCGCATAGGAACGGTTCACTGAAGCCCGATCTATAGGAGCTACCATGGTGGCTTTCCTTTGCAGGTGAAAAGTCATCTAGGGACTTCCGAGTAAAGGTGAAGGGTAGTTGCAGGACTTCTCAGGAAATAGTGGTGAACCACCTCTCGTTGAGCACTGGGTAAAAGTTGAGCTTTCCCAGAGCGCTGTGAAATACTGTTGAACCGCTGTTAACATTAACAAGAACCCTTTATTGTAAGTGATTGTTTTTTCCTTAAATAAGCCAAATTGTTGGGCCCGAGCGGTTTGATCCCTCGCTGACAGCTGTTGGAAGTTTCCTGGCTGCCTTGAGCAGAGGACTGTCAGCCAGCCAAGCAGCCATTTCCACCCAGGCTAGAGAGGAGCGCGTCCCCTCAGCAGAAGGCCCGTGACTGGTGCAAAGTCTGTCCTTCATTTGCACGAAGGTCTGCTGTGACTGGTGCAGACACTTGCCACACCCCCTCTCTGGCTATATAAGCAAGCTGTTTAACGCACCTTGTGAGTCAGCCTGGAGACACCTGTGCTGTCCCCTGCTTTGTAGCATTAGACCCCAAAAAGGCTTCTCTCAAGTGGTCTTTCCTTACCTACTTATGGCCTTTACCAATAGTTCAGCAGGCTGAGCTGGCAACAGGAAGAAGAGAGAAGAGGCTGTGGTAGAGGGGCAGCAGCTGTGAAGGTGTCCTTGCTGTGAATGATGGCAGGAGCACCAGCAGCCGTAGTGGCAGGCTTTGGCACGAGCAATAGTGGAGCCAGCGTTGACTGTCAGGGCAACTCTGGTGGCGGTAGCAGTGGCAGGAGCAACAGGGTCCTGGCGGCAGTAGTACCAGCATAGACAGGGTAAAAGGCAGTGTGTAGTGGCAACAGTGACTGCAGAGGTGACAGCAGCCAGGATGAGTCGAGAGCCAGAAAGCAGGGGGACTGCAGACCCTGTGACACTTAGCGCTGTGACCTTGTGCCTGGACCAAGAGCTGACACAGTGGCTGCAGGGCTAAAGGCCAGCACCCCATGTGTATACGAGCTTCAACACTGATGTGGTCTGCACCACTACTGGGTACAGGTTACAGACGCACCTGGGATAACTGGAAAATCTTCTTGCCTACCCCACAGTTCCCACTCAGCCAGCTGCGGACCCTAGAGAACTTAGCCAAGGCGTGAGGACTTCACTGGAGTGCAGTACCCTCACGTTTGTGAAGGGAATTCCTTTTTTTTTTTTTTTTTAAACGGTACTGGAGTTTGAACTCAGGGTCTACATCTTGGGCCACTCCACCAGCCCTTTTTTGTGATGGGTGTTTTCCAGATAGGATCTTGTGGAACTATTTTCCCGAATTGGCTTGGGATTGCTATCCTCCTGCTCTCTGCCTTTTGAGTAGGTAGGATTACAGGCGTGAGTCACTGGCCCCAGCTTCTCCTATCTTATTTTCACCCCTCTGTATCTGCCCTCTACTCCTCCCCTGCTCTATTTGTGCTTTTTGTTGTTTGTTTTTTGAGACAGGGACTCACTATATTGCCTAGGCTGGCTACAAACTTGAAAACCTCCTGCCTCTGCCTCCCTAGTGCTGCGATTACAGACATGCACTACCACACCTGACAACTATCTTGCCAGAGAAGTCTAACCTGTCCGAACTGCACCAGTGGGCTCCCTCACCTGCTGTGGCATCTGGAGGGGTCAGAAACATGAAGTATGAGCAGGAGATTGGAGACTAGAAGACAGTAAACTCACAGTCCTCTTCCCCAAGCTGGACCAGCAAGGCTTTGGTAAAGAGTCCTCACCTTAGTTTCTCCATTCCCTTTGCCCATTAGGCCAAGGGGTAATAGCCACCAACCTTTTTGTGCAGCGTTATCCCTTGTTGATTTTCCTGACTCTTGTCCATACTTCTGTAAATGGTCCTTTTAATTCTTAGACTGAAAGAGGGCATGTTAAGCTGAAATGCGTGGAGACAAATGAGGAATCAGAGATGTTAGACTGAAAGAGGCGCAGAGAGATAGGTGAGGAGACAGCTCAATACGTCAGCACAGGCTTCATTGGGGAGAAGAAACCTCCAGAAGGGATCTCAGCCAGAGAGCTAGAGTCTGCAGCGACTTATAGACTGGGTAGTTAGTTATAGGAGGCTAGTGGAAGAAGTCCCAGGAAGGTCACTGGGCAGGAAAATCCTCAACCCTTGATCCTCCCTATGGCTTAAGGGCGGGTCATTCTTCAAGACCAGGTGGGGAGTTTCTAGTAAATGGATAAATGTGAATGTTTGTTATTGTTTAGGGCAAAGTGGAATTTCCAGTAAGCCACTTTTGAGGGAAGGAGGCCTGGTTCTAACACTGCTGCCCTATGTTCACCTTAACGTCAACAACTTCAAATTAAGCAGTTTGAGTTTCCATCTGATTTCTGACTATTTGTCATTTTGTTGCTTCACTCTGCTTTACAACTGCTTGCCAGCTTACTCTGCTTCCTCAAGGAGGAGCCAAGCATGATGTCAGAGTCACAGGAGGGTGGGTCACTTGAACCCAGGACTTTGAGACCAGCCTGGAAACACAGGGAGACCCCAGTCTAAAAAGGAAAAAGAGACAAAAAGACAAAGAGTAAAGACTGATTGCTCTACTAACTTTTTCTAACCAGATCACACAAGTCATTAGCCAATAGCCCCAAGCAACAAGTTATTTGGTTCAAAACACTGTCATCAAGGCAATGGTCCTGGTGGAAAGCCAGTTTCCGTGGGTGGGAATAACACCCTTTAACCAGGTTTTCTTCCCTTTTCTTTTAGTTAATGGCATCACCTTCCAGTCTATAAAACCTTGAGGTCTTTTCTTTCACACCCCTTTCCCTTACTTTCCAAATCTAGTTAATTTACTAACAATTCTCCAGCAGTGTTCTTGGCATTCACAAAAAACAGTCAGTTGCACCTCCAAGTGTCAGCCAAATCCTTCTGCCTCTTTCTCCACTGCCCCTACCATACTCCCAGCTGCCACCAGCTTTCTCATTGCAGCCTCTCAACTGGCCTCTCTGACTCCACTTGGGCCTATTTGATAAACTTGTGAGGATTACAAGAGATAATGTGTGTAAAACTCTTGCCAAAGTCCCTGCCTCGATAATCCTATCCATTTTTACTATTTTAAATGTACATATTTAACTAGGATAAGTGACCTTAATTTGTACTGAACTGCTGAGGTTAAAGCCCCCTTTTTTGTGATAGAAATTTGGAATCTAGAGAACAGGTGTAGGGTTATCTTTTGAGAGGGAGAATGGTTCTTAGGGCGGAAGTTATAAAGCACGTAAAGTAATTCTTGTACAAGCTTGATCAGATTCTTCAACAAGCCTTTGGAAGGTGAATCCTGTTTTTCCTGTTCAGCTTTTGCTAATATATCCTCAGGTGATTGAAGCCACTTCTCCCATTGTTTCAGGAAATTAAAAGTGCCATGAGAACATTAAGGTACTCTAATCCTACCAGTGTGATTTAGGTTAAAGTTGGCCAAACCCAATGTGCTGTATTGCACCAAGATAACCATTTTTTGGTGGGACTTGGGTTGGAACTCAGGGCCTCATGCTTGCTAAGCAGTTGCTCTACCACTGAGCTGGTCCAAGATTAGCGGTTTTAACAAGATGTACTGAGCCATCCTTACCTTCAAGCTAAGGGGGTTTGGACTTTGTTTATTCTAATAATAGCTTCCAGAGCTGAGTACTTCCTGTTCTCTCTAATCTACAAGGCAGGTCAGTGCTGCTGTATATCTGATACAGTATTATCTGATACAGATAATAACAGCACTAGAAAATACTGCTCTTTTGTTTCACTGACATGAATCTTACATGTCTGTAAAAATGTGCTTGCTATCAAGTGTAGTTTATTTTAAATTTTTGTTTTATTGTTTTTACATTTACTCACATGTGTAAATGTGCACATTTGTTTGGACCACTGTGCTCCCCCAAGTGTAGTTTTAAGTCTAAGTTCTAACAAGATTACTGTTCCTAGCCCTTCCTAAGCAGGAATTATCTCTCTTCATTTTTGGTAGATTTTTTTTTTTTTTTGGTGAGACTGGGGTTTTGAACCCAGGACTTTGCACTTGCTAAGCAAGTGCTCTACTGCTTGAGCCACCTCCCTCGTCCATTTTGCTCTGGTCATTTTGGAGATGGGGGGGGGTCTCAAGAGCTACTTGCCCCAGTTAGCCTTCAACCTCAGTCCTCCCGATCTCAGCCTTCCTAGAATTACCTAAACTGGTGCCCAGTTTAGGTAGATTTTTTTTTTTTTTCCTTATTTCCATTAGGTAGATTTTTAACGGGCCAGTTTTACGGAAGTAGGAACTGAGCTCTCAAAGGTTTAAGTGTCTTAGCTAAGAACTTTCAGCCTGTGATAGCAGAGATAGGATTGATACTCATGGTTATCTGCCTTTCCTGCCACACCATTTAGTCTTTTATCTGTTAGAGTAATTTGAAATAACACAAGTGATAGTAATATTAATATTTTAAAATATTCTAATATTCAATAAGCTCAAGGAAGATAGTTTTTTTCTTTTCCAGTTCTCAAAGAACAGGGCATTTCAAACAATAGGGTATTCTATGGATCAATAACCTTTGTGAGTGCTTCCTGCTGTCCAGTTATAGTGAATATTAGCACAGTAGAGTGAAGACTTGTACACCATGAACGTGCTCTTTAAGTTCACATTCATATGAACTTCAGGGGTTGACATCAGAAAAGGTAAACATTGGGGCTGGGGTGTAGTTCAGTGGTAGAGCACTTGCATGAG